GGCAACGGCAAGGTCCTGAGATTGATCCCTGAAAAAAAAAAAAAAAAAAAAAAAAAAAAAATCCTCATCATTAAGATCACCTTATAAGTATATGAAATTAAATGAAATGTCTTTATAATATCAGTCCTCGGAGTTCTTTGAGCTAAGATTGAGACACAGCTCCCAGATGGAAAGGGGTGGTATATAATCTATCCTTTACTTGCTTTGTTAATTAACAGATGTTCACTTTAGAACAGTTTTATATATACCAAAAATTCAGTAGGGTTTTCCTATATCTGACATACCTACTCACCTAGTATCCCCTATTGTAAACATCATAAATTGGTATGCTACATTAAATCTAAGGAATTAACCAATATCTGTATATTATTTTTACTATAATCAAGTCTATTCAGATTTCCATTAATTTTTTCCACAAATTACTATTCTATTCCAGTAACCCATCCAGGATTCAATAATAATAATACACTAAACTGTCATACCTATGTGTGTTACTCTTAATTGAACCAATTTCTCAGAATTTCCTTATTTTTTATGGGTTTGACCATTTTTTGTTTTTATTTTCTTTTATTTTTTGGTAGGCTATGCTCTGCTTAGAGCTTGATATTTTTCTGATAATTATACTTAAGTTATCAGTTTTGGAAAGGGAACAGGGATGAGGTCTCACTTTCTTTATGCCATATCAAGTATACTATTTTAGTCCATTTTCCATTGCTGTAACAAAATACCTAAACATGCATAATCTATAAAGAAAAGAAGTTTACTTAGGACACAATTTTGGAAGCTGAAACTCCAAGCAGCAGGATTCCAGCTCTAGAAATAGCCTATTAGGCTACATTACAGCACGGTAGATGACATCACACAAGGAAAACATGAGAGAGAGAGAGATCACATTGTGAGACATGAAGCCAGAGCATGACAGGGTTCAAGCTTATTTTTTTGTAACTCACTCAGAAAGTAAGTAATTGAAGAGGGGTCCCTGCAAGAACTAGATCAATTTCTCCAAAGGGCAGCACCTTCAGGGACCTAACTATATCCTACTAGGTCCTACTTCTTCAAGATCTTACTACCTCTTAACATTGTTATGGCAGGAACCAAGCCTCCAACACATAAATTCTTGGAAAATAAACCATAACCAAACCATGGCTTACCCTGTGAAGCTAACTTATAGATGAAGATGTTAGCCTTGATCACCTGGCTATAGCAGATGTATGAGGTCACTCTAATACAAAGATGTTCTTAGTTGGGCATGGTGATACATGCAGATAATTCAGCACTCAGGAGGCTGAAGAAGGAGGATTGTCACAAGTTCATGGGCCAGCCGGAACTACACAGTGAGACACTGTCTCAAAAAACAAAACCCCAGGGAGATAGCTCAGTAGAATAAGTGCTTGCTTGGCAAGCGCAAGGGCCTGAGTTCAATCCTCAGTTCTGCAAAAATAAATAAATAAATACATACATACATACATACATACATAAATAACAAAAATAAACATGTTTTAACTTTTCTTTAATCTGCATTTTAAAATTACAAATGCAGACATGTAATTATTACATGGATTATGTAGAAGCTAAGTAATTTCTCTTGCTAATATTTTATAATTTTTTAAAAAAATTAAAATCTAGTCTTTTTTGGTGTACATTCTTGAAATACAGTGATATGGTTAATCTGATTAAAATAACAAGAGGAGTATGTACCTACATGTTCCCAATTGAGAATAATAACTATTAATACATAATTTGTTTGTTTTGTTTATGGGCTAGGGATTGAACTGAGAGGCTCATGCATGTGAAAATCATGGTCCACCATGGAACCCCTATAACCTACATAACATTTTTTGCACAGTAACCCACTCAGCAAATTTTGGTTAAAAAGTCTTATGAAAGACATATCAATAGAAATGGTAAAGGGAACATTTAAATGTTGCGCTAACTACTATTTTAAAATTCTATAACTTAAATACTTAGTTCAAGGGCTGGCCAAATGGCTCAGCAGATTAAAATGTATGCTTAGGCAGAAGCAGCATCGCCAGCCTGCTGCACTGGCCCTCCCCCTGTGGTGTGCTGAGAAGGCCACTGAGACTGGGCGTGGTGGCATGCGCCTCCAGCTCTTGGGAGGCTGAACACAGGTGGATCACCACGAGTCCAATCTACACTGTGAGACCCTATAGATCCTTTACTAAAAAATACCCCCCAAGAAAATCAGTTCAAAGAACATTGTGTAACATTATTACATATTATTAGAGTGGGAAGGTAAACACAGGCAGATCAATATGAGTCCAATCTACGTTGTGAGACTCTATAGATCTTGTACTAAAAAATACCCCCCAAAATAACATTGCATAGCATTATTGCATGTCATTATTAGAGTGTAGAATGGCTGAACATTAGCTGATACGTAGAAAATTGTCTCACAGCTATAATACTTGGAAATATTTTAAAATTGTTTACCCTTATTTCTAAGTTCCAATTAAATATATTTATTTCCTCTTATATTAAAATATTACCTCCTTACATACAATAGCATTTAGTGAAAAGATATTTAACTCCTATCATTTTACCTACATTTGAGAAATTTATAAATTCCGACCCTGTCAACACATAATAGAGTTTACTGCAAAAGAAAAGCACTGAAAAGAGACATAATCTTTCAATTAATTGTGTCCCTAAAAGCAAAATTTCACAGCCAGGGATAGATTTCAGTGGAACAAGTGGCAAATGCAAGGTCCTGAGTTCAATTTTCAATACAAAAAAAAAAAAGGAAAAAAAACCATTTCACTGAAAATCCAATATAGTCCAAATACAGTGGATAGGGGCTGGGGAGATGGCTCAGTAGAATAAGTGCTTCCCTGCTAAGCGCAAGGGTCTGAGTTCAATCCCTGGTTCCAGAAAAAAAAACACAAATACAGTGGATAAAATTGTGTGCATAGGAGCATATAAAATATCTAAAATTCACAAAAAACACGTAAGTATTACATAATTTGAATGACTATTTTAAAAACTACATTCTTTGGAAAGAAGATGGTACTAAATATATATATATATATATATATATATTCTGTGTATCATATATACTCTATATGTCATATGATTTTCTCACAAAATACCCAAATCTCTGTAGAAACGTCACATTCTTTTAAAATTGATATGTGTAACTACATACATTGCCAATTCATAAGGCAACCTTTTTTAGCTGAATTACCTATGACCTGGAAATGGATGACTAAACAACAGTCATATATTCTTG